TAAGCTTTTAATCGCAGAAATCATATAATATTGTAATATAAATAGTTACTGTAGGGAGAGCTGCCTACAGCTTGATTTTCAAGTTCGTATATCTTTTTTTTCCTCTTAAATTTAATTGAATTACTATAGTAGTTTAGTTTTTTCACTGCTCTTATACCCTATTGGTGGTAACTAAGGTTGTTAGGGTATCATCGGACTCCATGGAGTCCGATAATAGCAGTTTTTGTCCTAAATCTTGGTGTATGCCAAGTATTTTTTATTTTTATTTCATTCTATTTTTTTTCGATCTATGTTTACTAATTTTTATGCTTTGTTTCCTTTTTATAACCTTAAGAAATTTTGTCTCGGGATCTCTTATCTGCTGTGCTATATAAGCGACCCTCCATGCGTATTGCCTCGGGAACCCCCTTACTTGCCGGGGTGCCTTCCAGTTGGTAAGTTGTATCTATATCTTTCATCGACTGGTGCATATATATTGGTTTCCTCTTTCTTCAAATCTCAATGGCTCCACCCAGCAATTATGATATAGTCTCCTTCAATGTAAAGGGTCTCGATTCTAACCGTAAAAGGGGACTACTTTCTAGAGAGCTAAAGCGCTTAAACCCAGATGTGGTATTCCTTCAGGAAACTCATTTCTCTGCTCAGAGTTCATTTAATTTTTAAAAATCTCGTTTTCCTACTTATGATGTAGCTAACTGCCCCTAGGGAAAGCGGGCCCTTTTAAACCCTCAGAAGTCTTTATTCACCCAGGAGGTAGGTATATAATTCTTCATGGTATATGGGGATCCGAACAGATTACGTTATGCAATTTATACACCCCAAACACTAGACAAATACCTTTTTTAAAACTGTTTTTTCGAAACTGTCCTCCACAGCTCATCAATATATGATTATCGGTTGTGATTTTAATGTAATCTTATCCCCAACTCTTGATAGACTGGGGTTGGTTGGAAGTTCGACCACTGGGGGTACAGTAAGACTTGCACATCAATTTCAACTTCTGCTTAAACGATATGCTTTGTTTGATGTCTGGAGAACTCTGAATCCAACAGATGCTCTAACTCTAATGCTCATGAAACCCACACTAGAATAGACCGCTTCCTAGTTAACACTGCAGCTTTACGTGCTACTATCTCTGCCGAAAATACTTCTATTACTTGGTCTGACCATGCCCCTATAGTTCTCTCAGTTCGCATGTTCCCTCCTCCGGTAAAACCTTATAACTGGCGTTTAAATTATTGGCTCCTCAAAAATTAAATAACTGAGTCCCAACTTGAAACATCTCTGCTTGATTATTTTTCTTTGAACGAAGGCACTGTGGATCTTTCTAGTACCCTATGGGAGGCCCATAAAACAGTTATGCGAGGCCAATGTATAGCTCTTTCTAGTAAGCTTAAACGCGATTCACAGCTTCAACGTAAGTCTTTGGAAGATCAGCTTGGGGCTCTCCAACGGCTGTTAACATCTACCCCCTCTCTTTATTTACTTCGGCGTATTCTTTCTACTCGATCTCAACTGCAACAATTAGATATGTCAGCGGTGGAAAAAACAATGCTTTTGGTAAAACAGAAATTTTAAAACACTTCAGCCCCGACAAAGTGGCCTCCATCTTCCAGACCTACTACACTCGTCTTTATAACATTCAAGATCCCGCATTCAATTCTGCTGATCCTACTCTAAAAACTCGTATCACGGGCTATCTCACTGAATATCCCTCTCCTCACATCTCACAAGAGGACCTACAATTTCTTAATCGTCCTATTACACTTGAAGAGCTGACCCTAGTTATTAAATGCTTGCCCAATGGCAATGCCCCAGACTCAGGGGGCTTCCCTTACCTGTACTATAAAACCTTTAGCTCTATTCTTAATCCACACCTATTGACACTATATAATGATTTTTTTGCAGCATCACCTATGCCTACATCTATGCTTGCTTCGTATATTACAGTAATCCCTAAATCCGGTAAAGACCATCTGGAATGTTCCAGTTATCGACCTATTGCCCTATTAAACTCAGATTTAATTTTTTTTTCTAAACTGCTGGCACTCCGATTAGGCCCATTCCTCCCGACCAAGGACCAAGTTGGCCTTTGTTTTAGGCAGACAAGCTGGAGACAATACAAGGCGTACGATAGATCTTATAGACATTCTGAACTTCTCAGATACAGAATCTTTGATTCTGAGCCTCGATGCTGAGAAGACATTCGATCACCTTAGTTGGCCATTTTTATTTTCCACTCTAGAACATATTGGGATACAGGGACCCTTTTTGCATGTCATTAACAGTCTTTATTCCACTCCTTCTGCCACTATTAAACTCCCCTTTTCATTATCCTCCTTCTTTCCTATATGCAACGGTACTCAACAGGGTTGTCCTTTATCCCCCCTTCTTTTTGTCCTTTGCATTGAGTCACTGGCGACTCATATTAGGAATTCTCCAGACATCACTGGTATACAAGTCAAAGGACATGCTTTTAAACTTTCCTTGTTTGCAGATGATATTTTATTGACCCTGACTAAACCGTTTATCTCTTTACCTAACCTACACAGGGAATTGTCCAATTACTCGTCCATATCAGGGTATAAACTTAATTTAACTAAATCTGAGGAAATGCCAATTCATATCCCTCAGGAAGTGTTGTCTTTCCTCCAGTCTTCTTTTGAGTACAATTGGAAATTTGATAAAATGAAATATTTTTTAGGTATCTACCTTACCCCCCGAGAAATTAGAAACCATCTTCAGAGATGGAGATCATATCATCTATCCTGGATTGGCAGAATGGCATCAATTAAAATGACGATTCTGCCAAAGCTGCTTTACTACTTTGGGACATTGCCTGTTAAAATCCCTATGTCTGACCTTAAAGCCCTGCAACGCTCGCTTCTTCAATTTACATGGGACAATTCAGGACATAGAGTTGCCAGCTCGGTGTTAGTAGCCCCCAGAACACAGGGTGGACTGGCGTTTCCAGACATAGTTAAATACTATCTTGCTGTTCACTTACGACCTCTGGCTTCTTGGTGCTCTCTACACCCGCCTAACAGTTGGGCAGAAATAGAAAACCTTTGGATCTCCCCACTTCATCTAAACTCTATAATATGGCCCACCCCTCTGTTATCACAGGCCCCTCCATTACTATCAACTATACAACATACTAAAGCCATTTGGTGCCATGCAGGGTCTAAATTTAACCTTACCAAGACCACCACCTCTATGAGATCATTTTTATACACGCCTCTCCTACCTGTAACGCTTAATCACCATACTGCTCGTCCTTGGATGGATCACTCTCTTTTTCGCTTCAGAAACATTCTTCAGAAACATTCTTCATAATAATAGAATTTAATGCCTTTCCCTACTTTGCAAACCAGGTTTAATTTACCAGCCAGATCTTTTTTTTCAGATTTAACACTTTGCATACACAGTCTCTACTTCTCTTACTTTTTCGCCATTAACCCCGTTTGAAAAACTGTGCTTAGACGGCCCCACCCACAAACATTTGACATTTATAAATTGCTTAACTCAATTACCGATCTTCCCTTCCCCAAACATAAATACATGATTAAATGTGAGAAGGCTCTTGGTCGGACATTAGAAATGGAGAAGTGGGAGGAGATCTGGACCGATGCTAGTAAGACCTCTATTTGCACCATATATCAAGAAAATCAATACAAGATTCTCTTCCACTGGTATCGCACCCCGGACTTGCTGCAGTATATGAATCCTTCGCTGCCACCGGATTGCTGGCGATGCTTGACTTCAAAGGGTAGCTTATTGCATATATTTTGGGATTGTCCAAAGACATGCCCCTTTTGGAAATGTGCAATATCCCTGCTTCAAAAGCTAGTTGGTAAAACTATACCAGAAGATCCAGTACATTTGCTTTTGGGCCTCCCCATCTTACATTTTTCGAAGACCACTACTAAACTTATTAATCATGTCCTAACCGCAACCAGATGCCTCATTGCTTTGAAATGGCGGCAACCCATTCCTCCGTCTGAGACAGAACTGTTGCGAAGGATTCATGATATTCATAGTTCGGAATACTTAACGGCTCGATGACATAACACCATCTCTAAATTCGAGCGGGTGTGGTCCCCCTGGCAACTGCGGGAGGGCCCTAGTGACTTTGTTTTTTTCTTTGTTTCTTTTCTTAAATTGATTTGAAAATGCTTTCTTTTTTAAGCTTATTAACCCCTTCGTGACGGGAGACGTACAGTCCTGTCACTTTGTGCCTATATGACTGGCCACGTACACTGTACGTGACGAGTTATATCAGGCTTTGTAATGCCGGTAAATAAAAAAAAAAGGGTTTTTACTTTCCTAAGCAATGTATTGTATATTTGTCTGTTACATACAGATATGGATACATTAGTAAAAAAAAAGAAGAAGAGAGAGTTTAATCATTCTTTAAGTTTCCATAAAAAATGGGAAACCTAAATATCACATTGGTTTAGCAAACTAATGATGTATCTAACCCTTAAATCTGCTTTATGAATGTAATGAATCTTTTGGTGGTGAAAAAGCAGTGAATGGTCAGCTAATTTTTACTTTATAAATGCGTACCTCAGATGTTGGCTTACTGTATTTTGCTATGTTTCACTGTCATGCCTTATATCTGTCTGAAACAGACGTTACTATTGACCCCTTTTTAGTATAATTTCTGCAACATTTGAAATTACAGATTTGATGATATTTCTAAAAAATATTCATATTATCATCTTCTTAACACACAAAGCATATGACAAACTGAGCAGATGGATAAAAAGTTTCATCCTTTTGTATAACAGATGCACAGCATTAGTGAAGATCTATATAGCTGTATACTGTAGACCCCTATTTTGCATAATGAGAGATATGTTGCAATGGGCTATACTAAATCCATGATAAGGGCTCTATGCCATATAATACCTTTTATAATAACTTACACACTACACATTTCTGATTCCAATCCTAAAATGTATATGTTTTTAGCAAGAGAGATTAGATTTACCAACCTTCAGGAATGCTGCTGTTCAGCAAAATTGGATTTCCCCAGGAATGTAAGACATTTCCTTGTGCATCAAAAGTCACATTTAAGTAGCCAAGATATTTTCCAAAGGCATATGCTTGAACCACAGGTACAGAACGCCCATCATCGGATTTCACGATAAAAGGATATTCCCCAACTGGGACATCATTGGAAGGTGGTGGACCTGTAATAAAATGTATCAAAGAATCAGATCTGACAGTAATCTGAAAATCAGTGTGACAGATTACTAATGTTCACTTCAGACTGCTAAGGCAGGATACTACACATGTATTAAGGCAGCACACATAATTATTTTACAATTCAGAGTACCCCAACGATGGACTAAAATGCAGGTAGGTTGGCTAGGTGCGTTGGGGTGCTATTTAAAGTGAATGGCACCACAACACACTGCAATTAGTTCAATGCATTACACATATCTGAATTGGCCCTAAGTCATTACTTTTTAATTGAGAAAAAGGACTAATAATATCACTGCAACATAATGCTCCAGAAAACGTGCAAGTAATGGCTGCAACTGGCTTTCACTTGTTGATGTTGGATGTAGGAGAGAGACATAAGATCATAGCAGGTGTACAAGTCAGTTACTGGCTTTTAACTGAAGGAATGATTTATTTCCCCTCCACCATAGGCCCCTTTCTAAATGAGCGGTGCGCTTGGGTCTGCCTGTCAGTTTTTCAACCGGACCTGATCGGACGATCTATGCAAGTCTATAGGCACCCGTTTAGCCCCGGCTCTGGCTAGGCCAACAGACGGATCGGAGATCCGTTTCGACGGACCTGATCGTGCCAGACTGGAGGTAATCTGATGTAAACAGACACATGTCAGTTTACATCAGATTCCCCATAGACAGACAAAGGGGTACGGCAGTTTCAGTTTTTTCTCCATTGCAAGATGGAGGAAAAAACTGTACGGACACGGATGTCACAGCGATGACATCCGATCCGTACTGCTGTGATCAGGAGATGATCTGTTAACGGATCCCCTCCTGACATGCTCATCTGAAAAGGGCCTTACTTTTATTATTTCTGGTATTGAGTGATGAACAATACATTTAGAAGACCTTTCTATTATATCTGTAACACTTTAAGAGGTTCAGCAGCAGAAATAGGCCACTTTCAGAGAAAACATTACAGAGAAAACATTATGACTGAATGTGAACGGTGACTTGTTAGTGGCCGATTACAACGATTTATAATTCCAGGCAGTCCTGAGCACCAGATGACTGTACGTTTTTGATTTCTGAAGTGACCATTAACCTACAGCTTGTGAAACGGCAGTGGATGACTGAGCAGGCCTACTGCAAAATGTTTCTCCGACGTAACCCTTAAGTCCAAGTCAGCAAAAGGGTTAGATACATAAAGAATGTTACATTCATACTATTTCTACTAGGACTACACAGAAGCTGGATGCATTCCTGTAAAGTAAGACCTTATCTGGAATGTGTAGTTCAGTGTTGGGCACCAGTTCACAAAAAGGATGTTATGGAACTGAAAAGTGTGCAGGAGGTCAAATAAACTGATAAGAGGCATGGGGGAGCTCAGTTATGATGAAAAATAAGCTAAACTGAATTTGTACTCTATTGAGAAGAGACGATTAAGGGGGGATGAGATGACCATGAAGAGAAAATTAAAGGAGATCTATGAGGTGAGTGATTTCCACTCATCCTGTGACAAAGAAGCTGTCACAGGTCGGCTCCATAGATCGGGAAGTGAGCAGAAACATGCACAATCTGCTCACTTCTTGATCGTCTCCCTGCAATGAGCCCGCAGGGATTCCCCCCCTCCTCTCTCTGATCCTCCAGCGCTGAGTGGAGGAACAGACAGGGGAGGGGAGGGGCGGGCACAGCTGGCTCGGCCTCTAGATAGGCCGAGCCAGCGGTCACTCACGCAGCTGGGTGGATCTCAACAGTAATGTCTGGATCCGTCCCGGCTGCGGCACTCACAGTATATCGCAGGCAACTGAGCTTTGGGTCAGTGGAGGACGCTAGTGTATGTCCTTCCGTGACCCTAAAGAGAACTATGTGGAAAAACACTTAACCCATAGTTCTCTTATAAGGGCTCAATTTGCTAAACCATTTTATCCTAGGCATTATGGAAATCAGAGTGGGTTCACGTGACATGTAACACATAAAATATTTACCACCTATATAAGGTCACTTAAAGGGACAAGGCGGCACAAGTTGCATCTGGAGGGAAAGAGGTTTAACCTTTCAATATGGAAAGACTTCTTCATAGTAAGAGCTATGAAAATGTAGAATAGGCTGCCTCAGGAACTACGGTAGTTCTAGCCAGCTGGTTAATTGTTTTTAAAAATCTAGATGCATCCCTAAATGCACAGAACATAACTAAATGTTAACATTTTAGTAGTAAAAAACAACGGAGATTGATAATTCAGGAAATATGCAATTGCCTTATGGGATCTGGAAGGGTTTTTTTTTGCCCTGTAGGAGCAAACTGAACCATGCTTTAATGATTTTTTTCTTCCTCTGGATCAAGTGTGTGTAACTGTGGACATAGTTCATGTCTTATTTGAATTGTGACCACTGCAGGAACGGATCTGGCTGCCTGTAGTTGAGCCACCAGGGGCTAGACCTTCCTTAAAGTACTGCTGACTTGATGCTAAACATAGCACAGGAGAGACTAAGGAAAGAGAATGTTATAGGAAATGGGTCAGTGATAACACACTGACTTCTGGCTAAAATATACTTTTACTCTAACATCAACTTGTTTTAGAACAAAGTTCCCTTTGTAGGGTTGTCAGACTTGCTAATTTTTATGTGGCACAGCACGACATGAACCTATCAATTTGCTGAGCAATTCATCCTAGGAATTAGGAAAATCAGAGTGGGTTCTAGGGACATGTAACACATACAGCATTTACCACCTATATTTTTGCTTTATACTTTATACTTTTATTTCCAACCAGCTGCATCTCCAGAAATCAGATTCGATAGGAGAGTGTTCTGCAGACAAAGTTGCATTCCACAGATGCAAATCCTTTTACAATGAATGGCATAACAATGAACAAATGCTGCGCTTCTACTATATGAAAGGCAATAAATACTGTCTATAAGACTGCTGATTATACTGATAGAATTATAGGATTTACCATTGCTGACTTGTTTTTAAAGATGCCAACTCTGGGGCAGTCATCCTTATCCTTATTCTTCACCGCCTGGTGGCTCACTAATCCAGAACAAGTGTCCTGACTGACACTGAACTGTCTGCATTGTTCTGCATCAATGGCTCACTAAGCAACAAAGAAGGAAAAAGGAAGACCACCTTGGAATCTGCAGCCAATAATGACAATATTGCTGTTCTGACAGGTTCCCTTAAAAATTCTGCATGTTCAGTGGAGTTGTACTTACAGTAAAATTTTAAGCACCAATAACACACCCAATACATGGAAAACAGACTGATAAGTGAAAAACTGACCTGTGTAAAGGAATGTATTTGAGTGTCCTCCGACAACCACATCCACTCCACGCACCTTCTGAGCAATAAGTTTGTCGGTTTCAAAGCCAGAGTGACCCAGAGCTATCACCTTATTTACCCCAAGAGTTAAAACTTTAGAAACTTCATTTTGTAAAACTTCTATCTCATCTTCAAATGTCAGGTGTGGGCCTGAAATACAGAATATTGTTTAGATATTGAGCACAAATATGCAATCATTTAAAGGTTTAGTGCTTAATAAATAAGTAAAGTAGAACCGAAGCCAAAACTGTTATTTAGTTGAGGATAGAGTAAGGGAGGGCTATACTCCCCTGACAGCTTTTTGTCCCATAGGGGACATTTCCATTCATTTCCTGTCCAATATTCACAACAAGAAGTGAGGAAATCCCTCTAAAGTGAGGGAAATTCCTTGTGGTCACCAGAACTAGTATCCCCATAGGAAGGTTTCCTATCTATTCCTGTTCTTGTGACAACCCAAAATTTGGGATTTTTTTTCACAGTCTCCAGGACAAATAGAGAAATTGAATCTCCCTAACAGGAATACAGCCAGCAATAAAAAACTTGACAGGTGTTCTTCTAATCTCTCTCCACTTTAATTAAAACTAAAAAAGTCTTGGCTTCAGTTGTAGGAGTCTGTCAGCAGCTAATGTGTAAAGTTGCGCTGGTGGCCCTGCCCCCTCAGCTCTCTCCTCCATTCACAGAGCTCGTATTATTATTTTAATATTATTCCACATTGTATCGAGCTCTGGAAATGGCAGAGGAGATTCTGTCATTCAACAACTGAACTTTCTCCTCCATTCACAGAACTTAATACATAATGGGATAATAATAATAGGAGATCTGTGAATGGTGAAGAGAGAGGGGGGGGGGGGGGGGTGGGGTTGCCCCTTCTTATCTTTACTCTATCCAAAACAAAACTTAGGCCACCCATAATTGTATTAGAGTGTTCAGACCGAACAGGGTCAGACCCATGTACCGGGTAAATGACAAGACCCCTTAGCAGTGTTATGACTAGACTGCCTGTAGAGGGAGCTCCTGTGGTTTAAAAGTGTGCATAGAGTAGAGTGTACCATCATGCTCACATTTAGGGCTCATTCATACCAGACTGCGCTCTAAAACGGGCCATTTTAGTGCATGGGCTGGTGTCTGATGTGTAACGGTGGTAAATGGTGGCACTTTAAATTGTTCAATACAAGACACTGTTCTCCTTTTTTCTAAATGTTATTTGATCACAAGTGACATCTTGGAGCTGCAGTTTGGTGATCAGCGCTGACATAAGATGAAGCGCAGGAAAGTGCAGCATGTCTGTATTTTTTTCACCGCACCGCAACCCACCTCAATGCAGAGTTGTGTATGATCTGTGCAGATGCTGTGTATGAGCCCTAATCCTTGCTTCCCACTAAGCATAATGTATTCTGTGCGTCTCCATTTCCTACAGGTTGGTCAAATCATTGATTGGTTGGTCTTCAATCAATTATCCTCATTCATATTTTGAAGTGTAAAGAGAATGTTTGTCCATGTTTTTTTGATTTAGCACATGTATGTTTCTAATCTGTATGTTAGTGCTGGGTAACCTCTCTGTGACATAATATGCTGCGTTTGGCCTTGTTGCTCTGTCTTTATTTATTTATATGACATATTCCTGTTAATTTTCTAATTGTGAGATGTGCATTATTAATTTTGCATCTGTAACATTTCTTATTACTTATGCTCATGTTAAGGTGTATCTCTAGGCAAAACCTTTTTTGGGGGTAGAGTGGGGAATGGTTAATTTAATGCTGTCTCAGCCTTAGTATTTGTGAACACTGTGATTTAGAAAGAAATTGAGGGAAAATTGTCCAAAGGGGCCCCGAAAATTAGGGGAATTTCCGCCCCTTTGGGAGATTTCCTTTAACTTCCTACTGTGTCTCTATTACAGGAAGTGAAGGCAAATTTTCCCAATGGTACACAGACATAAAATAAAAATAACATGGAAAAACAAAACAGTTTTGATAATACATACAATTTAAATTCCTTCTCACTGAGCATGATGCATTCTGTGTCTCTCATCTGTTTCCTTCAGATACTGTAGGCTGTATTTCAATTACCCTTTGCACCTATACCACCCATATACCAGTAATACATGCACCGTCCAACCCCATTCAGGTAACAACTTTCATAAACAGAAAAGTTCATCTTAACCAAACATTCCTGTTCATATGACTGGAAGAGAGACGAGGGAAATAGACAATGTTGGCGGAACTAATTGAGACAGGTTTGAAATGGGTTTCCTATAGCATATATTCACTTTTTGAGTTCAGGCCCACATACTTTACTTTACAGGTATTTTATGGATGTTTATTACATATATCAGAAAAGGCAGTAAGGTATGTGAGGCACCGTCAACCCCCAGATCTGGCTGTTCTGCAGTACAATGTTACAATTAGGAAGAACAGAGGTTAATGAGTAAACGGAATCTGTAAAGTGGAAGCTGCAGAGGTAATACAATGTTACATAATAGAGCAAACGGTTACCTGGATCAGATAAAACTGGAGTTTCTTTTGAAGTATATCCAACTATTGCAATCTGTTCACCGCCAACATTTAAGATTTTATAAGGCTGATAATATCCACTTATGTTAGATGCAATCTGTGAATCTGCTTTAATATTGGCACTTAGAATGGGGAACTTCACATTTGTAAGGAATGGGTTTACCAGTCCAGAGAGGCCATTGTCAAATTCATGATTCCCTAGAGCCTGAAAACAAGAAGGACATTTTCATTATAACCAATAAATAAACATTGATTTAAAGAAATAAACATAATTTCTTACTACTGGGGCTGAAGGTTTATGAAGTGTGTGGTTACATTGACCTAAATTAAAGACATTGTCTAGGTTTAATAAATAAAACTGAAATGTGCATAACATTTACAGATTTAAATAAACCAAGGACTTTCAATCTGAGCATGGTACAAATAGTTTTACCCAGTGGCAGACCCAGGGAACAAAGGGCCCTGGTGCAAGATTTTTTTTCGGGACACCGATCCGATACTATACGGCGGCCGGACACTGACGGGCCCCCCCATCTCTGCCTTGGGGCTGTGTTAGATCAGATACAGGGCCCCCATTTAGGCTCAGGCCCGAGGGCCGCCGCACCTGCTGCATCGGCGGTAGGTCCGCCCCTGGTTTTACCTCCATATATTATAATTCCCATTAAATGGTCGGCCCACCCAAAAGTGATATTTTAATTATGTTTAGATCCTGGTGGGTTGAGTTAGCCCTTGGATTGGTATATGTCTTGAATACTCCAACAGTGAGATTTCCTTGGCATAATTCCTCACTCTTTTCCACGTGGTAGTTTTTTTTTTATTGTTACCTCCTACCTTTGCATGTTCCAGACCCTCCACTTATTATTATTATTATCTAACTGGGAGAAAGGCTGCAATAGATCCAGATGTCCAATGCCAAAAAATCACCAATTTATTCCTTTAGATAAAATAAAATGATCAGGTATTTTACCCTCCAGCAACTACCAAAAGCTTTAATATATTTTGTCCATATTAAATGTGTTATTAGTAGCAGTATTAAAGTTCTACACTTTGACAGCATTGAAGGCCAGATCTACAATTGCATGTAATGCATTCCTATACACATGGGTTTTATAGACAGTCTTAGCGGACCTTAAAGTGAATCTCCAGACAGACAGCTACGCACACAGTTCAAACTTATAAAGGTTTACTGTTCTACATATTATAAGATTTGTAATAGTCCACAGCGAATCTTGTTAGTTGTTTACAGACTCTATAAGCAGACAGTTACTAAAATCAGTAATTCATCTTCTTGGTTACGCTTCTGCATTCCTATGTTCTCCGTTGCCACCAGACTCCTCAATGCACCATAAATCAGTATCATCACCTGTCTAGTAGCAGCTTATTGTTCTTTTTTGACTACTGTGGTTTGTGTATCATAAGGTTGGCTGAACAGAATCATCATATATTTTATGTATTGCAACTGCATTTAGCTCACATACTGTATATTTACAGGGAATATTTGATGGATCAAGCCGATTTTCCTACTGCTGGCTGTACATCTGGATTCTCTATTCTTCATTTTACAGCTGCCCGTCCTAATTTGTTTTAAATATTAACTGCTTGTTTTTTTTATTTATTTTTTATTTATGATTTTCCTTTGAAGGAAGCTTGTCAATCCTGTCCTCATGCACACATTCACTTTATTGCAAACAAGTATTTTAGCCTACAATTCTCGTATGTCCTCTCCTCCCACTGCAGATTCTCTATATAACCAACATGAATCTGCTAGAGTGCAGGCATATGTAGATAGGAGGATGTGCCCAGTTTTAGACACTATTTAAAAATATGCCTGTGCAATTCGGTCCGCATTTTAAAAATATTTATCTATTGACAGTGCCTGCATAATTCCAGGGCTAACATCAGTAAGCACAGCTTGTGAATAACCACTGACATTAATGATCTTTTTTTTAGCTGTCTCTAGAGTGGCATTCTTTGCATTGATCATCAGTGTCCCATAGGGGACATTCTTCTCCTGGATCCGCAATGTACCAAGGTGTACAAACACCAATATAAGGGGATACAACACTGGCCACCAATATAACAAGGCATTTTTTTGCTCTGACCACTAATGTAAGGGACATTCTTCCTCCCACTGTAAGATGGCATCTTCCACTAACCACCAATGTAAGAGCGCCTTTCCCACTGACCACCAATATAAGGGGCATTTCACCCCTAACCACCATTGTCAAAGGGCATTTCTCCAGTGACTACCAATATAAAGGTGCATCTTTTCACTGACCACCAATGTAGAGAAGCACTCCTCTTTTAAAAGTAGTACTAAAGGCTATTCGTTTTTCACCTTAATGCATTCTCTGCATTAAGGTAAAAAACGTCCCGCTACCTTTCCATGCCTCCCACCCCCAAACACTTACTTTTACTCCAGTTCCACTGCTGCCGGCTCCCAGACGATCTCTGATTAGTCCCTGAAGTTCTGGGTTGAGAGAAGAGATCCCGAGGCCACTAAAGGCAGGGCAGTAATAGGCTGCTGCACCTGCCTGTCAAGATACCAAGAGGAGGGAGTAGACAGTAAACAGGGCGTGGATTGTTGAGTGCTGTGTGTGTCAGTGAACACACACAGCACGGCTTAATACCCGGCCGGAACTGTGCACACACACGGGTGTTTCCTTTGCAACCCTTCAAGGCAAAGGAGACACCTGTAAAATTGACTACCACTAACGAATTTCGTCCAAATCCCGAACCAGATTGACTTTCGGACTCGAATTCAGAAAAACTAAATAACGGAAAATCCGAATGAAAACAAAACGAAATACATTTTTTGCCGGTGCACATGTCTATTGAATAGGTTTAACATGGTCGTGAATCACGTATGCCTTTCTCGGGGCAAAGTTTATTTAGATAACACATAGTTATAGCTGAAATACTGTATATTGCCATTATCTGCCTTAGCTGCAGCCTAATTTCGCAAATAACCACTTTTATATGCATCAGTGTTTACTAGCTACCATTTATATAATAGGTGTGGCAAGAGCACAGTTCATGCAGGAAAGTGCAAGCCATTGCATATTGCCTTTCATTAAACAGTAATTATCTTTATAAATGAGGTGCTAGTGACATGTCTAGATAAGTCTTTTTAATGGACTCAGCTTTTTTGCTTTATCTTATACTGTATGTTGTCTTGCTGATAATGTGCAATAGTCTAAACTTAAATATTATATAGCTACATAGTCAGGTTTAAAAAATAATTTATAAAGTTCAACTTACAGAAAAATAAATAATTAAATACACTGAAAACCTCCATAAACAGAACCATAATTTGTGCAAACAGGTGGGAAAACTTCCTTCCTGATACCCTAAGGCAATTGGGTATCTCTCTATTATTACTTATAAATGCTGATATCCAGTTATATTCCATGCATTTAGGAATGCATCCAGCTTTTTCTTTATAGAAACAATTAACTGAACTGTCTAGAACTAGTTTCTGAGTGACCAATTAGAAGCGCTATTTAGCAGTTTAGCAGTTTACAGTCAAATACAGTTTTGATTAGGGATGCACTGATACAGAGTATTTGGGCGAGTACTTGTACTCGCCCAAATGCTCTGATACCTTCCCCAATAACGGAACTTCCAGTGCTGTAGGGGAACATGGAGCCAGCTTCCCGTGCAATCAGGAAGTGGGGCAGCAACTAATGACCCGCCTCCCAGTTTCCTGATTGACCGGAAAGCCAGCTCCTTGCTGATTGGCTGGGAAGTCGGCTTTCCGGCCAATCAGCATCGAGCCGGCTTCGTGGCCAATCAGGTCATTACTCGCCTCCCGGTTTCCTAAATGACCAGGAAGCTGGCTCGATGCTGATTGGCCGGCCAAACAACACAGAGTTGGCTTCTCTGGCAACCAGGAAGCCTTGTAGCATGTCATTACCCGCTGCCCGGCTTCCTGATTGCCCGGGAAGCCTGCTCCATGCCAACAAAAGCACCGATACTCGGTATCAACGAGTACCGAAAGCAAAATATAGGTACCCGTACTCAATACCCAAAAACTGGTAATGGTGCATCCCTAGATTTTAATAAAAAAAATTTGTATTGGGACAAGTAAATTGTCATGAGGGACAAGTAGATTCGGCCCCGCTTTAGCCCTTGGACAAGTAGTTTTTAGAAAATTTCCACACCCCTGGTGTCTGTACAGTTTTTTCCTACTCCTTGCAATGGAGGAGCCCATGTCAGTCTATTGGGAATCGGATGTAAACGGACAGATTACCCCCGAACTGGCATGATCAGGTCCGGTTAAATGGATCTCTGATCCGTTTGTTTTTCTGGACCCGTCCATTTACACATGTTTGCCAATAGAATAACATTGGGTGTCCAATCGGGTCCGCTTTAAAAACTGACAGGCGGAGCTATTCTGTTTTTTGTTTTCTTTTTTATTAAGGTAAATAATAAATAAAACATAAGAGTATTACATATTTCTACATGTAGGAGATCAAGAGGCTCAAATAACAGCTGTCTTGTTAAAAACCTGGACACATAGGTTGCCAATAAGCATGCAGGCAGTGCTTTGTTATTAGAAAATCCAACAGGCTTTGCAAATGAATGCTGCAGATGCATGGTGTAATAAATGTTTATATGTAAAATATAGATTGTATATAACTAAAGAAACAGATGAAACAAAATATATCAGTTTATAAACCCTTGTTGTATATTGGAATAAAATTAACCAAAAAAATGTTAAATATTTCTCTACATGTGTAGTGTACAGTGAAAGGGTTGCACTTCAATGATCTGGGAACAGAACTCAATCTAAAATTGAAAATTTAGTTTTTATTGCCCATCAGAAGGTCACCTACAAGGGGAATGTGTTCATCAAGTCTGCATATATCCCTCTGAGAGGCTCCTAGTATCAACAGGTTTATTTATAAACACTGCCACCAACACTGAAAACATAAGAGGGTTTTGGCTCATAGTTGCCAAGCAGCATTTTTGTTCTATTTAAAAAACCAAGATGTCTCCTGCACACCGTACAGCAATCAGGACCGGTGCTTGAAATAGCAGTGGTGCTTGCAGGCCCGGATTTCCCACAAGGCCACCGAGGCCCAGCCTCGGGGCGGCAGTGGTGACCTTGTGGGGAAGTTGCGGGCGCCGGTGTAAGGAAGTAAATCCGGCCCTGGGTGCTTGTAGTGATATCCACGGATGGCGCAGTGCATATACAGAAAT